ATGCGAGAGGGCAACACATAAGCTAATGTCTCCACATAATTTATGCAAATGTTGGTAAATCAAAGTAGACTGCGCTGCCTAATCTGTCTCTGCATAGACTCAGATAGCCCAGACGAGGCTCCTACAGATGGGGCATCCTTAGCTCAGAGCCTCTCGGCTCCTTGCAGCGTAGGGACTGAGCCCTCCACGTCTGATTCAGGGTATGAGAAAGAACCCTCAGCTCCCCAGCTTTTCTCTTACGGTTCTTCCATACACGCTGTCAGCATCAAATCTCAGAATTGGCAGCAGTTGCTTGTGCTATTATCCTGTCTGCTATCGCATAACCCAAATATACACATATATATACCATTAAGGTCAAGTGACAGAGCCCTTTTAGTTCTTCAAGTAAATCTGGCATCAGAGACCAGAAGCATCGTAATCTGTAGCACCGGTGTATTCTAAAAAAAGTCTGCCAAATAGCTGGCAAGATAAAAATAGTAGGTTAAAATGAAAAATGTCCTCAAGAATGCTTGCTTRCTTTCTTTCATAATCCCTATAATCCGCATCCTCTTGCTTCCCTTCTTCCTCCATGCGTTTTGCCACATGGAGGAAGCCAAACAACACATCATAGGGCTGCCCCGAGTGACAGCCCAGTCCAGTCATTGATCACATAGTGGGGTGATCAATAAAGCTAAACCCTTTAATACTGATTGATTTAATGAATGCTAAACAACAGCTCCTACTGACACCCTGCACGGATTCGGCTCTTCCTGCTGCTTCTCTAGTTGAGTCCTCACACCCAAAGCAGCCTCGGGAAGAAGCCTGGTCACAGTGTCACCAAGTCCTGGACCAACGTTCAGGGCCACCTCAGAACAACCACAGTCCCCACATCAACCTCCAGTCCCAAGTCAACCACATCCCCCTCCATGGCACAGCGACTGCAAAGCAAATTGCTCCTCCTCTGCCACCTGCTCAGCCCTCTCCAAAGCAGCCCTAGAGATCCACCTGATTCAGCCTGTTTTCTTTCTGGCCAACAGCGGCWTCGTGGCATATGTCCATCCACAGCCAGGTACCACATCCCTGAAAAGTCAATATGCAGAACATGATTTTTCTTGTCTATAGGTTTGTATGGACCACCAATAAAAAAATAGGCTGCCTCAGAGCATGCGTCAGTGTTATTTTTTTTTCTAGGAAAATAAAAATCCATCAAAATACATGTATGAGCACTCACACCCTCCTATCTGTGTGTTTGCAGGATTCTTAGTGCTGTATTTTTGCTGATATTTCTGCTTGCAAAAGTGCAAGTATTTCTGCTTGCAAAAGTGCAAGTATTTGTACATATTTGGACTGCCCATCACATTGCTCAGTTCTGGACCTCACGTGGCATGAGGAAGAAAAGGTTAGACTGGAAAAAGCAGAACTTCATTCATCTTTAATTGACACTTTTTGAGGGAAAAGTGAACAGAGTAACATACCACAACTCCACCTTATACTGTCCTTGCAGCAAAGATACTCTTTCCTCCACTTCCCATYTACCCCACCCTCAAAAAGTCCCTCGGTTTCTAGTTTCATGCTGTTGTTCAGGGTTTTCCCCATGCAAAATCTCTTATGTCTTGTAGCTAGTCAGAATATGTGGAGACAGTCCCTGGATAAAGCTCTGCGGTCGGAGATAGGAAGGAGATGAGCCCAGGCAGCTCTAACAGCCCCTTCTGGAATTAATCCATGAAATTACTGGCTTCAGTCAAGGCTTCATTCTAACAAGATTATTTGAACAATTTCCACGGACTGAGTTTTTCTTTTCAAACATTGCTATAAAGGCACCATTCATTGACCTACCAAAGCAGACAATGCCACACCAAAATTTACTGGGGAACAGTAGGTGGGAATTAGAAAGCAATTTTATTTCACTCTTGTAAACTAAACATCTGGGTGTTTTTTTTTTTTTTTTTAAATAAAAGAGAAAACCTTAAAAAGTTCTCGACTTCATGTGGTATTTTTTTTTTCAAATAAGAAATCAAGAGCCAATTTACTAATCCTGCTGTACTATAAAGCCCTGTAGTTATCACTAACTGCTTCAGTGTGATCCATATGATAGCAAGGGCAAAGTCTTGCACCCACACAAGAAAGAACAAAAGAGGTGTTTTAGAGGGAACGTTGACTCAAGCAGTGCCCTAATTTCTTGAACAACTTTAGAAACTAAAGTTTTCAATAAGATTTCTGAAAAATGTGGCAGATGAGACTTGCAAAAGTTTTCTCTACTTGCTGTCAAATCCATAGGTTTGCAAAAAGTTGTAATACCTGTGTCATTTTTGCGTTCATCTCCTGCCGTTGTATTTTTACATCATTTGAGGGGCCAGCAGCTGTTTAGAAATTCCTAAAAAATGCTCTAAAGCAATCCATACTATCAGAGAGTATTTAGAAAATGCAGCTGCTGTATTTTCTAGAAAAACAAACCATTTTTAAGCCTTGACCCTTGATTCTTTCATCTCGGCACTCGCACTGGCTTCAGGGAAGTCTCGGGGTCCGAGGAGCCCAGAACGGGCTGTGGTTGCGCAGCCTTAAGCTGCTCCAGGCTTCTCCTCAGCTAAATAATGCAAAGCACCTCCCTACAGCTGCGCTTTTCTACAGACCTGGAAGACAATTCCAAAAACGGTGGAGGTCGTACTATGGAATTTGGATATGGCATCGCTACCGTGTTGCTAAAAATGCCCACATTAGCCCTCYCGATACTATTTTACGCTTGGCGATATTGAGCATCTTTGCGCTGCAGGAAACCCAGGAACTCGTGAGTGACAGTGGAAACGAAGCCAAACGCGCAACTGGGAAACTTGGTGTTTTCTCATTTCCATAGGGGAGTTGCAGCGTAGCTCCGAGCCAGAGCGCACAGTCCGTCCCCTGGGCTTCCTGGAGGAGATTCTGCGATGGAAATTTCACCGCCTCCGCGCTGCTTTTGGAAGCGGCCGCTTCGCATCTGCTGCCTCTGCCCCGGCAGCCCCGGCGAGGGGGGGACCGCGGCCCGCGCAGGGGCCCACAGAGAAACGCCTTGGAAATAAAATAAAATAAAATAAAATAAAATAAAATAAAATAAAATAAAATAAAATAAAATAAAATAAAATAAAATAAAATAAAATAAAATAAAATAAAATAAAATAAAATAAAATAAAATAAAATAAAATAAAATAAAATAAAATGTCAGCGTAGCTGCGCCGCGAGGCGGAGGACACTCGGTGCCTGTCCCGTTGGGGGGGAAGCTCCGCTGAGGTGCGCGGCGAGGGGAGGCTTGGGGGGTTTGGTTGTTTCCTAACGACGGCCACGCTCACATAGGAAGCGCGTTTATCGCCTCGTTATTGCCCATTTCCTCCCGCCGGGCGCGCAGCTGAGCGCGCAGAGGGGCAGCAGGGCGGCGGGTCCCGGCCGCGCAGGGGCGACACGCGCAGGGAGCCGCGCTCTGCGCGCGCCTCCCTCCCGCGGGCCGGGCGGCTCGTTCCGACACTGCAGCAATTACCGCCCCAGCGTGAGCGCCGCGCGCGCTAAGTGCAACAGCGCGTCAATTAGCGCACGGACAGCCCGCCCCGCGCGCGGGACAACCCCCCGGGGCGGGATAACGAGCGCTCCGCCGCCCGGCCCGCCGAGCCGTTAAGGTGGTCCGGGAGCGCCGCCGCGGCGCTGCCGGTGGGAGCCGCTCCGCTCCACGTTCGCGAGGCCGCCGCTCACGTGCGGRGCTGCGGGGACCCGCAGCGCCGCGCGGGGCACCGCGTGTGCGGGTCCGGCCCTGTATGCACGTGTTTATTAGCGTGCGCGCACATGAAGCGGTTACTAAGTCATCTCATCCGCGCTCGCGGTGCTCGGAGCTGCCGCCACAACGGGGTAGCCCCGGAGCGGGGTAGCCCCGGAGCGGGGTCGCGGCAGCCACGACCCGACACCGCACCCGGTGTCGCGGCGCGGCGCTGCTGCGCGCGGCACCGCGTAGCGCCGCGGGAGCCGGCGGCGGCGGCAGCGCTGCGGCCGGCG